TTCATTACCCATTTAAGCCGTCTCCAGCCATTATTAGCCACAGAATGTTGAGTTCACCCTATAATCAAAAAGATTTTTACATTTATAAATATATTATATAAACTATGATAGTGAACAACATATTAAACAGTTTTACTGCTTTCAAAATGTGTTCGTGTTGAAAAACATTTTCAAAGTGTGAAGAATACCCAAATATTAGCAAAAGTGGATTATATTATTTTAAGTCTATAAATACCATATAAAATCATAATATGAACCATAATATTTTTCACTTAACAACTGTACAGTATTTGAAGATACTGTTATATTACAAACTACACATAATTTCCTTTTTGTCCACTTCCTGTAGCCACTTTACCCATCTTAAGTAGACCACACATCAGCCATCTCTCACACAGAGATCTGCTGATGGTGCTCCCAGATCAGCTTAGTATATAACAGTGAAGCATTCTATAATCTCGCTCCAGCTTGTTTTTAATTAAGCAAACAAATGTTGTGGGATCACTTTTCTAGCATAAAATTGTTTAGAATCTAGTGTACCTAGTAAGTTAGATTTTAGTTCCTGTTTTTCACACAAAAACAACTAGTTACAGCATTCACTCAAAAAATAAACTGGAACATCCTAATGTGATTTTTCTGTACAAATTAATATTACTTTTACATCATATATATAATCACAGAAATTGTTCTTTTGTTTTTCATCTTTTCTTACTGACAAATAACAAATTTAGTGAAATTTTATTTTTTGTTTTTTACAACAAATACTCAAACAGCATTTACTACATAAAAACTTGTATTTTTCATCTTTATGTCATTTACCCAAATGTCACTGTTCAACTCTTTAGCTCCTTTCAAAGCCACTCTTAACTATTGGGCTTAATTTACCTAGAGCCAAACATTTTGCTCCATTGCAAAAGTGTTTAAAAGAAGTTCTAATGAATTTACTTCTATCCAGGTTATCTCTTTTACACAGGGATGATGGATATTCCCAGAACCATTACGATACACTAAAAACATTTTTAAAAATACATCATTTTGCAGTAATCATATATAATTTTTTTATCCAGAATGATAGTTATTTGTAAATTATTACTAAAAAAAATGTCTCATTCAGAATTACAAAAAGAATGATGGAGCAAGTACATATATAGTTGCTGTTGTTTTTTCAGGGGATTTTTAATTTTTAGAAACAAAAATAAAATATTTTATAATTAAGCTTACTCCTAAGTTTGAAGACTAGAATGAGGACATATGTTGACAAGAACAATTTTATGTTTCCATAGTAATATCTGTGCTTCAATCAATACATATATACCTAATGAATGTAAGTTAAATAAAGAAGGTAGTCATATTAACAATTTATTTGTAGCATAAAGAAGCAAAAAGTAAATCTAAGTATAATAGCTGTAAGAATATTTATGTTGCAAGTTTCCTGCAAGAATGCTGATTTGATGTAATCACTAATCATTTTTTTCAGCCATCTTTGGTTTCTCACACACACACACACACACACACACATAAAAAAAAAAAGCTTCATGAGGATGATGATGGATGAAATGATGCATAATTGGATATAGCAATAAAATCAAAATTTGCATTAATAGTCAAATTTACTTCCTAATTACATATAACATAACTATTAAACTTTCCAGAATGAATGACTTCAGCTTGAATACGTGAAATAAGCAATAAGTAGCCTCTACTGGACATGCAAACCAAAGTTCCCAATTATAGGTTAAGATTCCTACTTAATGTATTTTTTTAAGTAAAGGTCATTTAGTTCAAACAATTATTTAGCTCAGCCCCTCACTTTATAATTTAAAAGTCTCTAATTTCATTTAAAAATAATAATCTTATTTCCAAAGTTCTTGAATGAATATTCATTAACTAATGCCAGTAAATCAAATATTCATTTTGCAAAAACTTTCATCAAACATGAAATTTTCAGACAGTGGTTCCATTTCTGCAAGTCTTCATAAAGAATATATAACCAGTCTTAAAATGATTTATTCATAGTTCTTTCTTCGATACAAGTTTTAGATACTTTCTCTGTAAGGCTTATCACTGCTGTTGCTCCTTAAACTTTAGAATTAAAATATTTTTGTTTCTTAGGTTTGTGGCTTTGAATTTTATTTCCAAATCAGTTTTGAATTTGAAATAACCAAAAAAGTGGTTAAAAAAATGTATACTACCAAATCAACAAATGGGACTAGTACTAGAAATATTTATTCATTCATTCTTTTGGGAATCATTTTTTCTTTATTATTAACATTTAGTATTTGCTGTAATGTGCTTCAAACTCAAGAAAACTATTTACGTTGATGTCTTACTTTATCACTGCCCAAAGAATGATTCAAACA